CCCCCCCCCCCACACGCATGTCGCTTCTTCCACGGCTGGACCTCCCCCTCCCAGGCAGCCTCTCTGTGCACCCCTAGAAAGGGAGCTCGGCGGTGTCCTGCATCCCTGGACAGCCCCCCGGGGGGGCCCAAGGAGACAAAGGTGCGTTGCAGGCTTCTGGGATTACAAGCCCCCCCCCCCCCCCGCCCCTGGATGCAGGCTGACCATCAGGGAAAGGCGATCCCGGGGCTCGTTTTCATCAGAGCCAGCACAGGAGGATCAGATGAAGCAGCCCAGGGACGTCTCCCAGCGCTGTGGCTGCAGCCACGGCCGCCTCGCCTTCTGAGGCGCACGTGCTGCGGCTCGGGGCCGAGCGAGCCCCCCTTTCCGGAGGCCAGCCTGGGACCCGTGTGGATCAAGCACCCTTCCGGGCAGAGGGTGCGTCCCCCAGAAGCGGAGGCAGAAGCGCCCGCACGGCGACGGGACCCACCTGCGCGGAGAAGCCGGAGAAGAAGCCGTACCAGAAGTGCACCAGCGTGAAGGTGAAGTTCTTGTAGAAGAAGTAGGCCAGGAACTTGCACATGCGCAGGTAGGACCAGCGGCCGTGGACCAGCAGCAGCCGCTGCAGGTAGCGGAACTGGGCGAAGCAGAAGTCGCTGGCCAGCACCGCCTGCATGCCCTCCTGGCCGCCGATGCCGACGCCGATGTGGGCCGCTGGGGCAGGAGAGCAGCCGTGAGGCTGGGGGCTGCCCTGGCCCTCGGGGGCCTGCCCGCCCCCCCCCGCCCCGTGGCCGGAGAACGAGGCGCGGGCTGCGCCCGAAGAGACGTGGGAGGCCTCCCCGGCAGAGGGGCTCAGAGAGGGGCGCCTCCCAGCGCTCCTGCAGGCGGCTCCCCGACTGGGAGCGGGCTGGGCCCTCCGGCAGCCCTGCAGGGGAGGGGACCTGGGGCTGGCAGAAGGCCAGCCTGGCGCTCGGCTGCCTCCCCACCGCAGCCCAGGAGGCACACGGCGACCCGTTGACCACGCGCGAGGAGCCGGGGCCGCAGCGGCAGGCGCCTGCTGCCGGAGGAGAGGGCAGCCCTCGGGGGTCCTCTGGGCAGCCTGGCCGGGAGGGGCAGGCAGAGGGGCCAGGCAGGCGGGCTGGCGCTGTGCAGCGGCCGCGGTGGGTCGAGAAGGGACTTGCCAGAGCCCCCCCACTGCCCGAGGTACCCGTGCGTGAAAGGCCACACTCCCCGGGGCTGCGGCCTGCCCCCAGCCAGGCTCCCCCGTGCCCCCCATGGCCTGCCCTGCTAGTCTGCTGCCAAACGGGGCCAAGCCGGCCCTCCCGCCGGAGCCCAGCCACCCACGCTGCAGCCCCAGTGCTCCCCCCGCAGACGGGCCCCGTGCCGGGCTGAGCGCCTCCCCCAGCAGCATCCTCGTGTGGCCCATGTGCCTGGCCGGGGGCCACTGGCCAGCGTTTTCCGAGCACTGCTGCGGATCCCAGCTGGGCCTCTGCGGACACTTTCATCAGGCTGCAGCCCCTGAGAGTGCCGCGGTCCTTCCCAGCGCCAGTCGCGGAGATGGCCAATCTGCTGTGACGGCTAATCAGGCACATTGCGCTAACGAGAACGCCAGAGGCGCCCGTGGGTGGGCTGGCTGTGCACATCTCCACCGCGTGGCAGATGAGGCCACGGAGCCACCTTGCCCACAGGCTGCTCTGGTGCTCCGGCGGGAGCAGCCTCCGCTCCCGGAGGTTTCCACCTCGCCTCCAGTGAGTGGGAAGGGCCCGGCCCGGCCTCGCCGGAACACACAGGCCCTCCTGAGCAAACCCGATTGGATTAGGCAAACACGGAAGCGCCTTGCTTCCGGCAGTAAGAATACGCCAAGGGCAGACAACTCTTTGTGGGGGAAATGAACCCACGGGGACCACCCATCATCTCATTGCCCCCGGGGAGCCACGGCGCTCGGGGGGCCGTGCAGGAGCACAGCAGGCTCTGGCGCCCACCTCCTGGCAGCGCAGAGGAGCAGATCACGCTGCCCTGGCCGGTCCAGGGCCTCTGGGATGCGAGCGGCCAAGCCCCCTGGGAGCGCAAGCAGATGTTTGTGGGGGAGGTCCCTGGCTATTTCTCCTCCTCCCTGTTCTCACTTTTAAACTTTTCCCCCTCTTCCCCCTTCGTTTGCTTCCTTGTAACTCCCGCCACTCACTGGTAGGACCTTGTGGCTAACCTTCAGGGAAGACGGGAAGCTCGGGCTGCAACAACGGGGCAGAAAGAAGGAGCGGCAAGGGTCCCCGGCGGTGGCGGCCAGCAGTTTGTGTGCAGTGTTTGCTCTCCCGCCGGTGGCCAGCCTGGCCGACGCGGGCGACACGCGCAAGCCAGCGGCCCTGCGGGAGGACAGGCGGGAGCGCCGGGGCAGCGGGTGGCCACGCTCCGCTCCAGGGAATCAAAGAAGGCGCCGAGTTTTTAGACAGAGCAGTGATCCGCAACGGCCATGAGCAGCGCAGAAGCGGGCCGAGGCGCCCTGGGAATCCCGGAGGGGCACTCACGGACGCGGCGGGAGAGCCACCGGCTGCGGATGAGCTTCATGACGCCCCGAGAGATGTGGAGCGAGAGGATGAGAGTCAACCCGGCAAGAGAAACACGGCAGGGCGCAGGAACAGCAGTCAGGGGAGAGCGAGGGGTGTGGGCGAGGGGCTCCCCGCTTTGCAGAACGGGGGAGCGTGCCTGCCACGAGGCGTGCCAGGTGTGTGCTCTCCCGGAGCCACGATTCGTGACGCATCCCATGCAGCCCACGGCCAAATCCCCTTCCCCGCCATCCACGTGGGAACGAGCGACACTGCCAGGAGCAGCTTTGGCGAGGCGAAGCAGAAATACCGGGGCCCAGATGGCCTTCTCACCAGTCCGACCAGTACGTGGAAGAGGGACAGACGGGGAAGAAGATCCCTCCAGGTGAATGAATGGCTACGATGGTGGTGCCACAAAGGGGGATCTGGATTCTGGGACCACGAGCCACGGTTCCGGGAAGACGGACTACTGGCAAACGGCGGGCCGCACCTCACAAAGAACGGGAAGCGGGTGTTGGGCCATTTCACGGGAAAGCTCATCAGGAGAGCTTTAAACCGAAGCATCCGGGGCAGGGAGACACGCAGCACGGACAAGCAGAGGGGGGCGGCCTCGAGCAGGGCCCAGCCCCGGCCCCCGGCAAAGCAGCGAGAACCGCGGGCACGACAGACCACGGTCTCCAGCGTCTCTGCGCCAAAAGCCCAGAGGATGGGAGGCACACGGCACGGACTTGAGCTCCTGGTGCACGAGGGCAAACGTGCTGCTACAGGAATGACGGAAACTGGGTGGGATGACGCACACGACCGGAACGCGACCACTGACGGACACAACCAGTTCCAGAAAAACTGGAGGGAGAAAAGGGGAGGTGGGGAGACACATGCACCCGCACAGAGAGATGAGGAGAGCAGCTTAGCAGCCCCGCGGAACGCATCTGGCTTCATTTAATAATTAAATAATAAAAACACGTACTGATTGGTGCCCTATTACCACCCACCCAGCCAAAAACAGGGCAACCACGTAACCGTTGAAAAGCAACTGGCCAGCATTTCTGAGAACAATGCAGTCATCACGGGGGACTTTGGTTTCCCCGACAGATGGTGGGAGACCACCGATGCCAAGCATGGTCCCCCCCAAGAGATTCCTGTCGTGCGTTGCCGGCTCCTTCCTCCAGCAGAAGGTGGAGGAAGGAACCGGGGAACAGCTGCCTCCACTTTAATACTGACTAACAGGGATGGCCTAGCAGACAGAAGAGCAGCCACGAGGGAACGTGACCGAGTGAGATTGGATTCTCAGTTCCGAAGGAGATGAAGGTCAACTGCAGCCGAACACGAGTGCTGGACTTCAGGAAAACCCGCTTTAACACACTCAGGACGATGTGTGTCATGGCAACTCTCTCTTACAGGAAAGAGAGACCAAGAGAGGCGGGAAATCTTGAGAAAAAGGATCCTCCAAGCACAACTGCAAACAGTTTGGACAAGAAAAAAGTGTAGAGAAAATGGAGGACGCCCACGTGGCTCCACAAAAGGTCAGGGGACAGCCTGAAAGAAGAACATGCAGAGGAGGCGGAGGCAGGCCAGGCCGCCTGGGGAGAACGCAGGCAAACAGCGAGGAACCGCAGGGACGGTGGCGGGAAAGCCGATGCGGGAAACGCTGCCGTCCGCAGAGTCATCCAAGCCAAAGACACGTGAAAGGGAAAGGCGGATGGCAGAGTAATAACAGGTGGCTGCCGCTGCCCCCATCTTCAAAAAGGAGGAAGAAGATGAACCCGGGAACAACAGACCAGCTCGTCTGACATCGATCCCTGGAAGAGTGCTGGAGAAACCTGCCTCAAAGCACCTCGAAGAAAATGCAGAGAGGAACAAAAGTCAACATGGATTCATCAAGAATAAATCCTGCCAGATGAATTTAATCTCATTTTTGACTGGGTAACTTCCCAAACAGGCAGAAGGAACACTGTGGGCGTAATCTACCTTGACTTTAGCAAAGAAAGCTAAAAAGAGTCCAGGGGAGGGCACCAAAAATGACGCAGGGCTTGGAAACACGGCCCTGTGAGGAGCGGCTGAGGGAACGGGGCACGCTCAGCCCCGAGAAGAGAAGGCTGAGGGGGGACACCGTGTCCCCCTGTAAGGACCTCCAGGGCTGCCACTCCTCTCGCTGATCCCAGAGTGCGGGACACGGAATCACCGGTCCAAGCTGCGACAGGCCAGATTCAGGCTGGCCATCAGGAAGGGCTTCCTCCCTGACAGAGCAACGCGGAAGTGGGACCGGCTGCCTGGAGAAACACCCCCCGTCCATTACGCCGGCTGAAGCCAAGATGTGGCGCCCAGGCACGCAGAAGTGGAGGCAGAGAAAGGCGTGTGCGACTCGGGAGGAGGCAGAGGAGCACACCTGGGGCTGGAACTGCCACAGGGCACCTGGGCACAGGTGTGCATTCGACCTGCCAGGCGCAGGCCACCCGTCACGCCAGGGAGTGGGTCTGCACCGAGAGAGGCCCCAGCGGCCCCCGCCAAGCAGAAGTTGGCGCCCCAACTGTGGGGGGGGAGGACAAGGGCTGGCCGTGCTGCTTTGGGCCCCCACTGTGGCTGCCTGCTGCCCACACCAAGGGGGCCTCCTCTGCTCCCCCAGTTCGAGTGCCAAGAGGCTACCGGGACACTGAGGACGGCGACCCAGAGGATGGCCCGAAGGCCCGGCAGCCCTCCACCCGGGAAGCTCGGCAGGCCTAGGGCTGGCCTGGCTCTGGCGGGGAGACCCCTGGGAGCCACACAGGGCCACCCCGGGGGGAGGCGGGAAGTACATGAACGAACGCAATTGTCAGCCCAGCCAGAGACCAGGCCTGGGCAGCCCCCGCCCCCCCACCGGCTCCAGGGAAGCAGCTTCCCTGGCGCCTGCAGCTCCTCCCAGGCAGTCCCCACGTGGACCCCCGCCAGGCCCTCCCTGCCCAGGTCCGGGCCGCGGCTCCAGCAGCACGTGGACGGGGCCACGCAAGGACGCTCCCGCCGCATGTCGGGCTCCGCAACGTCTCCCTCGGCATGGCTGCCGCTCGCTTGCTCGGGGGGGGGGGAGCCACTGCGCAGCCCCCCAGCCCAGCGGCCTCCTGGTCTGCGGGGCAGCGGCTCCCACCGGCCAGCTGAGCCGGAGGGCACCTGGCTGGGGAGGCCACGACACGCACGGCTCCGCCGCACAGCCCGTCAGCAAGAGGCAGGCGGGCGGGCGGGCGGGGAGGGGAAACCGCTGGGGGTCTCCAAAGCGGCCCTCTGCCCCGGGGAGGGGGGGGGAGCCCGGGCGCACTCACCCTTGATCATGCTGACGTCGTTGGCGCCGTCCCCGATGGCCAGCGTCACGGCCTCCTTGCGCCGCTTCACCAGCTCCACCACCTGCGCCTTCTGCAGGGGCGTCACCCGGCAGCAGATCACCACCCGGCACAGGCAGGCCGTCCGGAGCAGCTCCTCCTCCAGGGCCCCCTCCAGCGCGAGCGCCTGCGGGAACGCGCCCCACGGCGCCTGTCAGAGAGCGCGGGCCTGCGCACCCGGAGGAGTGCGCGGGCCCTGGGGAGGGGGAGCCGGCCAGTGCCGCCTCTGTTGCCGCGCTGCGCTCCCCGGGAAGGATGGTGCTGGCCCGCTGGCTGGAGCTGCCGCCCCGCAGAATTTGCCAGGCCGGCGCGAGCCGGGAGGGCGTGCCTTCTGTCCTGCACCGGCCCAAAGCCCCCTCGCTGCAGCCCGCTTCCCTCCCCAGCGCACTTCTTGGGGCCGCAGGCGCCGCTTGCACCCGAAAGCCCGCCGGGGCCCCGCGTGGCTGCCACCTCCCCACCCAAGGGCTCGCGGCGCAATGCAAGCCCCCACGGCGGGGACTCTGGGCCCGCCGGCTCAAGGGCTGCGCCACACCGACATCCCGGCAGTGTTCCTGCCCCTGGTTTGCGGGACCGGGACCAGCGCCAGCACGGGAAGGCGAACTGTGCGAGCGCGGCCCACGTGCCCGCCACGTCTCCCCCACGGGCCGGCCTGCCGAGGGGGCCAGGCGCTTCTGCAGCGTCCTTGGAGGGAAGCCCCAGGGCCGCTTCGCTCACGGCCACCGCGCCTGCTTACCAGGCTGTGCCCGTTGATCACCAGGCCGTACTCCCCATTGGGCTGTTCCTCCGGCAAGACCTTGCTGCCGCCGGGCTGCTGGGCCAGGCTGTCCGCCGGGCTGTCGCCCACGAAGGCCGCCGACGGCACCATTTTCTGCCTCGCCTCCCTGGAAGAAAGGCCGGCATACCACGCGGCCGGGCCCGGGGAGGGCCGGGTCGGTTCTCCCACACCAGACTGGGAAGGCTGGTCCGGTGCCCCAGAACCTCCCCCAGGCACCAGCAGGGGGTCCCCCGAGGCAGCCGGGCGGGCTTGCCGGCGGGACGGATCCTCCCTGCTGGCCAAGGGATTGGGTCAGGGTCCGCCACCCACAGGGGCGCCTCTGGGGAGCCCCATTCCGAAGCGATGCAGCCCGCGTGGGTCACAGAGCCCGGGCGGCGCCGCACGGCCAGAGAAGCCCGGCCCCCGCCCTGCTTGGCCGTCGTGCCCGGGGAGGGGGCCTCTGCTTGGCCTCACACCCCACCCCGGGCCCTGGGGAAGGTGCGGGGGGCAAGGTCCGAGCGGCCCTACCGGAGCTCTTGCCGCACCTCCTGTGAGGTGCGCCCCTCGATGATGAAGATGTCCTCCATGGCGTCGGACAGCATGTTGCAGGAGTAGCCAATGTTGACCGCTGTCTCTGGGGGGAGACCCGAGAGAAGCCATCTGGAGGCCGCCCCACTGCCCGCCCTCGGATCTCCCTCCCGGTGCCGGGCTGCGCGCTGCAGGCTGCGGGGGGAGAGGTGCCCTCGGCCGGGACGCCGGCTTGCGCCCATCCAGCGGGGCCTCGGGCAGAGGGCTGGGTGGGCCGGGCACGGCCCCACGGCCCCCACCCAGGCTGCCCTCTGGCCTCCCCCCGTCCGAGTCGGCATCTGCTCGTCCCTCTGCCGCCCAGAAAGGGGGGCAGGGCCGGATCCAGCTGCCCTCTGGAGGAGCCCCATTCCGCGCCCCTCGGGCAGCCTCGGTTTACCTTGTTTGTCCCCCGTGAGCACCCAGATTTTAATCTCGGCTCTTCCCAGAATCTCGATGGTCTGTGGAACGCCGTCCTGCAGCTTGTCCTCGATGGCCGTGGCGCCGAGCAGCTGCATTGGCGGGAGGGGATGAGAGAGGGAGACCCCTGCGGCGCAGCCAGGGGCACACGGGGGCTGCCGCCAGGGATGGCCTCCCAGGCAGCCCTTCCAGCAGCCCCTGCCCCACATCACTGCTCACCCTCCGTCCCTGCTCTCCTCTTGCCTGAGGAGCAGGCAGCCCCCCCAGAGCCCTCCAGGCAGGAGCCGAGGTGCCGGAGCTGCCTGGCCAGTCTCAGTCTCAGCCCGCACAGAGTCCTCCCGCGAAGGGGGGCGGGCAAGGGCCACGCTGCACCTGGTCCAGCTTACGGAGCCCATCAGCCGCAGCCGAGGTGGCCACCGGGGGGGCAGCAGGGAACTGCAGGCTGAGCGCTCCTCCAGCCTGGCACACCGCTTCCTTGGGGAACGGCGGGCACCAGCCACGCGAATGGAGGGCCCTGTGTGCCCCCCCAGCCCCCTCCCCGGCCGGCCCCTCACCATCAGGTCCCTCTCGACCTCCTCGTACAGGGCGGAGAGCTTCTCCTCGCGCTCCTCCAGGGCCACGCTCGCCTCCCGGTGGCGCCGCTGCCAGGCCGCGAAGTAGTCCTCCTCCAGGTGCTTGTAGGCGGCCACCAGCGTCCGCAGCCCTTCCCCGGCGAACTCCTGGGGCGCACGGACACCCTGAGCGCGGCCCGGCCCTCCCCCCGCCATTCCCCCAGCAGCCTTGCCACATTCAGAGGCAGCGCCTGCTCGGACCCCCCCACCGCGCCAGCTGGCTTGGGCGTGGAGCTCGCCTTGGGGGCAGCCCGGGCACTGTCCTCGTGGCGCCCGAAGCTCGACCGCAGGCGGCCCTCAGGCGGCTCGGAGCCGAGCCGAGCCGACCGTTCCTCTCTGCCGCGCCCAGCCGGGGGCGCAAGCGGGCCAGCAGCGGGGGCGCGCTCGCTCAGAGGCCGCCGGGCGATGCAGGGCTGGAGGCAGGGCCTGGGTGCGCATGATCCCCGGCCAGACACGCACGCTGGCAGGCGGGAAGGTGTGCGCGTGGCGGGCACTCACCTCCAGGTGGCGGGTGGTCTCCTCGCGAAGGGGTCCGCAGGAGGGGTGCAGGAGCTCGAACAGGACCGTGTCAGCCCCCTTGCAGTAGAGCGCCAGTTCCCCCCGGGGGCTGCGCACTGGGCAGAAACAGCACGTGCTCGGCGGGTGTGTGCGGAGGAGGGGCGGCCGGGCAGCGCGCAGCAGGCAGGCGGCCCCCCCACGCGGCCAGGGCGGCCTTCTCGCTCCGGCCCCGGGCAGTGGTGGGGTGGGGTCTCCGTGGGTGGCCCGAGGCAGCAGAGCCGCTCGCCCCGTGCCACACGCCCCATGTTGGAGCCGCAGCCGCGCCTTGGGGCAGCGCCACGGGGAGGGTGGCGCCCCCGTGGGAGGAGCGCCCGGCCCCTCGGGGCACGCAGCGGGGGTCCCGGCCCGCGTGAGTGGGAGACGCACCGATGACGGACATCCTCTTGCGCACGTTGCTGAAGTCCAGGATGGCGAGCAGCTCGTACACCAGCGTCTCGCCCAGCTCCACCACGGTGATGGTCTCCGGCGTCCGGGCACGGAACACGAAGCCGAAGTTGCGGGCAGCCGTCACCAGGGCGCCCTCGTCGGGAGACTGGGCCTGGTACACCAGCACACCTGCCGGGCCAGAGGAGGCACGCGTCACACCCCCCCACCCGGACCCGGGGCCTGGGCGCCCCTGCCTGCCCCCCCTGCCCGCCGCCGGGGCCTCACCTTCCTGCTTCTCCTCCGGCATCACCGTGTGGCAGAGCGAGAGGAGGAGGAAGAAGCGGTGGGCCGGCGCCTCAGCCGCCTGCACCGCCCTGAGCAGGCTGTGGTCGTGGAACACAAACTTTGGGTCGGCCAGCGGGTTGGACGAGAAATCCACCTTCTCGGTTTTCTAGAAGAGCAAGAATGGCCCCGCATCAAGCTTTTCTGCCCGCTCTCTGCCCGCTGCCCGGCGGGAGCCTCTGAAAGTTCCCCCAGACTCTCGTCCCCCGTCCCCCTGCCTCCACACCAGAACTGCTCCCGGGACCGGGGAGGTGGGGGGCGGGCCAGGCAGGCGGGGGAGACGCGGCCTTCAGGGAACACGCTGCCGGCCGGCCGGCCCAGCCTGGAGCGCAACGGCACCCCTGCTGCCACACACCCTTCCCGAAAGAAAGGCTCGGCAACGGCGGGGGCTCTCAGGTCTTACCTCCGTGCTCTCCACCCGGTTCCCCTCCGCATCGAAGGCCTCCCCTGTGGGTGGGAAGCACAGGCGCTGCTGCAGTGGCGCGAGGGCGCAGGCTGCGCATCTCAGCAGGGCAAGCACATGAACGCAGGCCAGCCCAGATGACGAAAGGGCAAAACGTGCCGGAATGAATCCTGCCATTTCACACGGTCGCTCTGTGCAGGGCTCCGGCCGGGACGGGCCGGGCCGGGACGGGGGGCTCCCCACGGCCAGGCCACGCGCCTGAGGCTCACCTGGAGGTCGGGCATCCTGCCCCCCGACCTGTGCCCCCAGTTCCTAACCCTCTGTCCTGATGCCGTCGGCGAGGACCGCCGGCCCATCGCAGGCCTGAGGCGGCTCTCTGTCTCGTTCGCCTCCTTCCGGGGCCAAAGCGCTCCTTCGCCCTCCGGATCCGTGCACGGCTTGTTCCCTGCCTCACCCGAAAGCCAGAAGAGTGGCCCAGAACCCGGGAAGCCGTGGGCCAAGCCGCCACGCCAGCAGGGGCCCGTTCGGGCCGGAGAGCCCCCGCGTCAGCGCAAGAGCACGGGGGCCGCGTGAGGGGCTGGGGGCGCTACCGTAGAGCTTCCCGCCGATGGAGCACTTGTTGAAGGTCATGATGTTCTGGGTGAGCGTGCCCGTCTTGTCCGAGAAGACGTACTTGATCTGCCCCAGCTCCTCGTTGAGGGTGGTGGTGCGCGCCTGGGCCGGCATGTCCCTCGCCGCGTGGTACATCTTGCGGTCCCAGTTGATGTAGAAGCTGTTGCCCAGGCGGATGATCTCCACACTGAGCGGGGGGCGGGAGGGCGGAGGGGTGTTCCAGGCCCAGCCGCAGGAGCCCCCGGCCCGCGGGACTCAAGGCGGGCCTAGCAAGGGGCCGGCTCCCGCGCCCGAGGAAGGGCACACGCTGCCCCTCCCGCCGGGGCGCCCCCCCCCCCTTGCCACAGCTTTTCGCCGCCTCCACAGGAGACCGCCAAGCGTAAGGATCCCTGTGCCGCCTTGCTGGAGAGGCGGGCTCCCACCGCGGCAGCCCCCTCGCGGCCACGCTTCCTACCTGACGTAGAGCGAGATGGGCACCACCGTGTTGAGGATGATGACGTACGACCAGAACATGAGGAACGCGGAGAAGGCGGCGGAGGGGGTGTCCCTCGCCCAGGGCAGGTACACCTGGAAGGCGCGCCCCGTGCGGTTCTCCCAGAGGCCGTTCCCGATGGCCAGGACCAGGCACAGGACGGTCAGGAGCACAAAGATCTGCGGGCAGGCGGGGCGAGCGGCTCAGAGCAGGGCGGGGGGGGGGGGCGGCTTCGCTCGTGTCAGCCAGGGAAGGTCGCGGTGGGGCGGGGAGCCGGCCGGGGGGTGAGCCTCCGCCTGGCCCTTCACGCGGCCGCTTTGCCGCCCCGCTGCCCACCCGGAAAGACACCTGCTCGCGTGTCCTGCCCCGAGAGGGCTGGGGTTGGGGTTAAAAGGGCGAAACGCGGCCCCGCCTGCACGCATTTCGGGGCTCCCCAAATCCCCCCGCACTGTTAAAAAGAAGAGGGAAAGGGAAGGCAGCGCCGGCAAGCGGGCCCAGGCCTGTGCGGATCGAGCCGCCCCCGGCGGGAGACGACGGCCGAGTCCGTCCGCCGGGCCAAACTGGGAAACTCTGTCCAGCGCTCACCCCGCGAGAGACCTTGCAGGCACGCCGCCTCACACGCTAATCAGGCAGCCCTTCCCAACCCGGCTCTCTCCAGACGGGTGGGACTGCAAGTCCCATCACTCCCAGCCAGCACATCTCCCTGCACAGTCCAGAGCCCAGGGAACGCTCCCCCAGAGCGAGGCTGGGAGGCCACTGACCGGCCCCCACGCCGCTGGCCCGTGCCGCTTGTGGCCTCCGTGAATCCGGCCGGCCTTTGAGCACGAGCGAAGTTCTGCATGGCTCACAGGGGGTCCGTGCGGTGGCCCCCCGACGCCAGCCAAGGCCCTGAAGCAGGGTGGGAAGGCCCACGCCTCTTCCGTCAGCAAGCCGGCCTGGCCTGGCCCCGGGAGCTGGCTGGGGAGCCGGGCAGTGCGGCCTCTCGCCCCCCCGGCCACTTGCGCCCAGTCCAGCCCGCCTCACAGGGCTGCTGCGAAGCGGAGGGTGGGCTGAGCAGGACGGGTTTTCTCGCAAGAGGAAGAGGCAAGGTCTACATGTGATCCAGCGGGGGGGGGGCGGAGGCAGTGCCCCCCCGCCTCGCACAGCTGTCCCCAGAGCTGCGCGCCTCTGCCACGGCTGCGCAGGGGGCGAGTGGGGGGGGACTCACCATGAGCACCAGGAAGTTCATCAGGCGCTCAATGCTCGTCCTTTTGAAAGCCGTCCTTCCGCTGTTCTGCATCAACTTGGTGTCTGGCCCTGGGAGCACAAACGGGCAGGATCGGAGCCGCTTGGCGAAATGTGCGGACCGGAGGCCCCCGCCACCCCCCGTAAGGCCCACGGCTCCTGCGCGGCTCCTGGCCCAGGAACGGGGCGGCCCAGGGAAGGCCACCCTCCGCCAAGCCATCTTCCCGCCTCCTCCTCTTCGGGATGCGGGCCGGGTGCTGGGGCCGCACTCTGGGGCCCGCCGGGGGCCTCCCGGGACAGGGGCACGTGCCGGGGGAGGGCGGTCGAGGCAGGGAGCAGCTGCTGGGAAGGCAGGCCGCTGTCCCACCGGGAGACGGGCGGGCAGTGTCCGGGCGGGCCAGTGCACAGGCTCCGTGCTCTGTGGCCACAGGACTCGGTGTCCTGCAGGGCAGCGGCTCCGGCACAGGAAACGCAGAGCTGCACCAGGGCAGCGGGAGGCCGCTGCTGCCAGGCCGGCCACGCGCACGGAGGGCACGTCGTGAGCGGAGCCGGCTGGCGCTGGGGGTCGGGCTGGGTGGCCCCGGAGGGCCCTCCTGACTCGCTCAGCTTCTGTGGTTCCTTCATCTCGGGCTCAGCGCAGGACTGTGCTGCCTCGGAGCTGCGGGCGAGATCCCAGGAATGCAAGGGGGCGGACGCCTGCACTTTCTGTCTGGACTTTGCCGAAAAAGGCACGCATTCTCCGCTCCCGTTTCCTGTGCCCTGACCTCGGGCCGCTGCATTGCTGAGCTGGGACTTCTGCCTGAAGCGGCCCGGATGCGCGTCACGCTCGCTGGCCAGTCCGAGCATGTGGCCTGGGCCGCACCCTGACTCATCTCTGCCAAATCCTGGCGTGCCGGCAAAACCCTCTGTGCTCTGGGGCTCCTCCACTGCCGCAAACGCGGCGTCTGCCTGTTGCTTTTGCTAACTGCCTGCGCATTTCATGTCGCTTTGCTGCTCAAAGGCCAAAGCTCTCCGAGCTGCATGTGACAATTAGTGAAATAAGAATATCAGCACAAACAGCGTAACATCTGCCTAAAGGTTAAGACCAGATTTTGGCAGCTTGAAGGGGGAGGCAGCCTCACACCGCTTCGCCCCCCGGCGCCCACGCGAAGAGAAGCACGTGGCGATCGGGCTGCCCAGCCCACTTGGCTTTTTCGCTGCCTGGGACGGGCAAACGCCCTTCCGCTTTACTCCGCCAGGCCCTGTGTGTTCTGGACCCTGGCTCAGTCCATCGGGTGTCTGCACTGTGCTTTGCGATACAATCCGCAACAGCACCTGCCTGTCTTGCCCGTGGGAGGGGCGGCCGAGACGGCTGGGGGTGTGCCAAGTCCGAAACTGCAGGCGTGCGTGCAGGGCCCGCCCAGCCTCCGAGGCAAGGTGACCGGAGGCCCCCGAGGCTGCGCCCCCCCCCCAGCCGCGGGAATCCGCACGCAGGCCACGTCCGGCTCTTACCGGCGAAGATGACCAGCCCGAAGCACCAGTCCGTGTTGCGGATCGTGCAGCCCCTGAGCAGTATCTTCTCGTTGTCCAGGGCGTATTTCTTCCTCTTAAAGACCAGGGTCCCGGTGAATCGGTCCAGCCTGTTGTTCGGTGCCTCGCAGCGGACCTCGCCTGCAGGCGAGCACGAGGCCCCGTGAGTGGCGGCCGCCTCTCCCCGCACGGGCCCTGCCGCCTCCCTGAAGGCTTCCTCGGTTCAGGCCTGCGGGAGGGGGCCGGCGGCCGGCCTGGGCTCACGGGATCACAGAAGAGGCGAGTTGGCAGGAGCCACGAGGCCACCGGGGCCACCCCTGCTGCCGCGGGACACCGAGTCGCACCGTCCCACTCAGATGCCGCCCAGCTTTGCTCCGAATCTCCTCTTTCTGGCGAGGGAGCGCGGGGGAGAGGCCACGTCACGGGGGGCAGCCTGTTCCCACAGCACCGTCTCCCCCCCAGTGCCCTCCCCAGCCCTGCGCGGCCCTTTTGCGTGGGTAGTGGCTGAGGGAGACGCTCCGGCATGGGCCCCACGCCCCTCGGCCCCTGCCCGTTAGCTGGTGCCGTGCTGTGGCAGGGCAGAACTAGCGGGCCGGGGCAGGCGGCCGACTCCGAGGGCGACGCGGACCTGCTGCCCCAAAACCGAGCGAGCTCCACGCCGCAGGCAGCCGCAGGGGGCGGCCCCCCAACCTGCCCATCCACACATGGGCGGCCCCCCAACATACCCGTCCATGGGGGCCTGACGGAAGCTACACCGGAGCCCAGAGTCTCCCTCAGGTGGGGAGAAGGCCAGAGAAATGAAGTGAGGCGGGAAAGAGCCCCGAAGGGAAGCAAAGAGTGCAAAGATCTGTGAAGAGAAAGCAAGCGGTGGGGCGAGAGGCAGGCGGAGGGCGGCTCTGGGGTGCGCAGGCGAGCCGGGCAGGGGCGGCCCTCCTCCCTCTCCGGGAGCTTCCCCCTGCGTGGCCAGGAGGCCTGTGGCTCCACTCTGCCCCATGCCGAGGGCCGTTACCGGGCAAACGCAAAAGGGGTTGCTTGAAAAAGAGGGCAATGGCTCTCGTCCGGACACAGGGCGAAGGAAGGGGGCTGTCCGAACGGCCCCCGCGCTCAGCGCCACGCCACGCCCTCCTGGACCCGTGCCCGCCACTTGCACGCTTGACCACGTGTCCCGGGCGGGCGCCGATCGCACTGCCCAGCAGCCGGAAAGCAGAGTGCAAGTCGCTGGCGGGGCGAGTGGGCTTCGGCTGACACGTCCCGCTCTCGGCCCCGCAGCTGCGGACGCGGATCCGCCTCAGCCTCATCGGCAGCCCCCTCCTGGCTGCTTCTGTGCGGGGGGCGGCCCCTGAGGCCCTTCCGCCCCGCTGGGATAGTGCCGCCGGTCGCCACCGGTAGGGAAAGACCGCTGGCATCACGCCTCGCGCATCCACTCACGCTCAGGGTGGGCCGGCTTCCCTCCTGAAGCTCCCGGGGCCCCTGCAAAGGCTCGCGGTGGCCAGCGGCTCGGGGACACGGTGGCCTCCAGCAAGTGGGCAGAGATACATCCGGAAAGCCCCTCGCAGGTGCCCAGCGGGCCTGCCCTTCCCATCGGTGCGAGCATTCGCCAAGGGCTCCCCCCACCCGTTTGGAGGTGCATCTCGGGAGGGGCGCTGGAGCAGGCTGAGCCAAGACCTGGACCGCTCCGGGGCTTCCCTCCCTTCCTCGGGGATGGAGGCAGCGGCACGGGGACGTCAGCTCCAGGCAGAGAGAACCGCTTTGGAGAGGGGCCGATCACGGCCCTGCAGCTCCGGCGGGCCCTCTGGCCTCCTGGTCCCCGAGCTGCCTGGCCATGGGCCCCTCCTGTCCACAGGCGGAAGGGGGCTGCTCTCAGCCCCGGGAGCTCCGTGCAACCTGCCCAAAGGGGTGGCCGGAGGGCCCTGCGGGGAGAGGGGTTAGAGTGCTGCGTTCAGCCCAGAATCAGCGCTCTCAAAGCCCCGCCAGACTTCTGGGGACCCCCCGCCCGGTTCTGTAGCGATGCAGGGCTTGGTGAAGCATGGAGGACGCACGGGCGCTCCGTCTGAAGGCCAGGTGGGGGGCAGAGCAGCTTGAGGAGGGGCGGAGGAGGAGAGGAGGATGCCGAGGGGTCTCAGCCCTGCCAGGAGGGCCTCGGCCAAGAGCTACAACTCTCTGAAGCTGCCACGGTGGGGTGACTGGCGGACCCCCATCCTCTGGCAGGACGGTGGTGTGGGCTGAGAAGTGGCGGGGTACTGCGAGGCCGGGGTGCCCCCCAAGCATGCTCTGTGCCCTTGACGATGCACCCTGCGCCTGAGACTCTCCCGGAGGGGCACGGGGCTGGAGGAGGGGCAGGAGAGGCCCCCAACTCACCGTCGAACTGGCTGAGCGCCTGCAGGTCCTCTCCCATCTCGGCCGTGACCGTCAGCGCCTGCTTCACCTTCAGGTTGGTCTCCCTGGAGGATCACGCGGGGCAGAGGCGACACCGCGGTCACAGGGTTGCTCCTCGGTGGGCCTGTGGCTGCCCCGTGCCGGGATGGCTGAGCACGGCACTCCCGGGCAGCGTGAGCACCTGCAGCTGGGGGGGGGGGGGGAAAGGGGCCTCCGGGGCCCCTGAGCTGAGGGGCGCAGCCCAGGTCCACCGTGCGCCCTGAAAGGCAGGCTGGCGTCGCCGAGAAACGAAGGCGCCTGGCCCAGCTCCGGCTCATGCGCAAGAGGTGCAGGCCACCCTGCCTCGCCAACCTCCCCGGAAGAGCCCCCCAGCCTCCCCCGCGGCTCGTTCTGGGTGAGGGGCTCTGCGGGACACCGGAGGCGGCCGCGGGAGTGGCCCAGGCCTCCCGGCATCGGTGGGGCGAGGCTGGCTCCCAGCTCCGCCACATGGCAGTCACAGAGGCAGGGCTGGGCCCCTTCTGTGCCGGCCAGGCGGGCTGAGGCACACACCGCCCCCCCCCCCCCCCCGGGGCCAGAACAGGGAAAAGCGCTGCTGCGCATGGCTTGCGCACTTCGGGCAGGCGCGACGGAGGGACTATCTGGCGCTCTCCCCCAGGGCGGCTCTCCGGCAGCTCTCGGGGGTCCTCAGGCACCCTCGCCTGGGCTCTGGGCCTGCGGGAGCCTCTTTCGGGGAGATTCCAGAGCGAAGGTCTGTGCCGCGGGAACTGCTCCCCCGCCCTGCCCAACCCCCAGTGCGTGTGACATGAGAGCGCCACGATGGCCCCGGGTCAAGGTCCCTCCTTGGCCCTTGGACTCAGGCAAGATGCTGGGGGCCCGGAGGTGGAGGGCGCTCAGCTGCCGGGGCGTGGGAGGACTCTGGGAGAGCACTTCTCCAAACGGGCCCTCTGAGGCGGCCAGCCCCGCGCCCGGACGCCAAGCTCCCCAGGGATGCTGCACGGCACCGCCACCCTTGAGGGCTGCCACACCGCCCCCCGGACGCTGCAGCACTCACCCATCCAGCTCCATGGTCTCGATGTAGGTCAGGCTGTGGGGTTCGCTGCTGGACAGCAGGAGCAAGTCCGCCTGGTGGGGAGAGGACGGCAGATGGGTGATCCGGGCGCAGGGCAGAGCGCCTGGGCACCGCGGGCCGCCAGCCGGTCCCCTGCCCAGAGCCTGTTTGTCCCCAGGAGAGGCTGCAGCCCGCCCCCCCCCGCACTGGCCAACGCAAAGCCACGTGCCATACGGTACGGGTGCCGCCGAGCGTGGTGCATCCGGGCCCGGTGAGGGTGCCGGAGCGGAGGCGTCAGCAGCAGCCCGGGAGACCCGTGAGGTGGGGGGCAGGCGGGCGGCAGCCTCCTCATGCCCCCGCCGGCCTCCCCCCGCCCCGGCCGGGCTGCCCTGCAGGGAGCGTGGCGAGAGACCACCGCCACTCCGGCCCTTCTCGGGCCGAGGCTGGCTGGGCTCCCTGCGAGGCCGCCCCCTGGCCGCTGCGGAGCTGCGCATGGCCCTCCGAAGGCTGCGGAGAATGTGGTCCCCCCCCCCCCGCGGAGGCCCCAAGCAGGGCCAAGCGCAGGCTGCCCCCAGCCGGGCCGGCGGCTCACCGTCACGAAGTTGTTGTTCTCCAGCTTGATGATGTCCCCCACCTGGATGCTCCGCCAGCGGTCCGTCTTCAGACTGGAAGGAAGGCGCACGGCGCTGGGAGAGCAGGCCTCTTCCGTGCTCCCGGGACGGACGCCTCCCTCCTGGCGCTCGGCGGCAGGGGCCACCGCACAGCTCACACTCCGGGACTGCAGGGGCGGGGCGACCACCCCAGCCACCCCATGTGCCCCCCAGCACCTCCCGCACTGTGAAGAGAGCGGGGGCAGGGCACCTCCGCCCAGGGAAGGGGCTTCAGGCCCACGGCTCTGCCCACGGGGTCCTCCCTGGCTCAGGGCAAGCCGCAAGTGGGGCCCGTCCCGATTCCACGAACAGGCACGAGGCCGGCTCCGGGCCCGAGTCGGCGGACCCGAAGGGACGGGCAGCGGGGACACCGGCGCTCCTGGCAGCCACACGCTCCCCGCTGCCCCGTTCCCCCCTCACACGCCGCATGTGCCAACGGCCGCCTCGGTCTCTCCTGCCAGAACTGGGTGCACAGCGACGTCCTGCTCACCTGCCGTCCACCAGCACCTTGACGGGGCGGTTGTTGACCTGCTTGTCATTCGCGTGTCGATTCTGGAAAACACGGAGCCGGCCAAGTCACGCCATGCAACCCACCACCCCCCCCGGGCCAAGCGACCCAGCAGGGTCTTCCGGGCATTCCGGGGGGGTGGGGTGGAGAGAGAAGCAGCAGCTTCCACCTCTGGGCCTCCTTGGGGGCCCGAGCGCGAGCAGGAACGGCCCCGCCTCTTTCCCACCTCCTTTTGCTAAGCGGCCCCCCTCAATTCTGCTGCATCCGGAAGGGGACCAAGCCCTCCTGTCCCCAGCAGCGTGGAGAAGCAGGCCCCCGGGGCGTGGGGGCCTGGCACTCCCCGCATTCAGCTTCCTGGACACCCAGGGAAGGGCCCCTGCGGGTCCGGCAGGGAGGGGCAGCCCATTCCATTGGTTCCGCTTCTCTTCCAGCAAGAGGGACCCCCTCGCTGCACGGCCGGGAGGTCTTTGCGGGCCTCCCCCGGTTCCCTTTGTCCTAGCACTCTGCCCCACCCCTGCCCCCAAAAGCTCCCCCTCGGAGCCGCATGGGGCCTGCTCTGCCCCCCGCCGTTGCGCCCGCCTTCCGCACGCAGGTTCGGCGCTCCGCTCGTCGCCATCCCCGCCGCTCCGCTTCGCGCGTGTGGCCCGGGCCCGAGGTGCGACCCCACCCGGGCGCCGCTGTGCTCACAACATCATCGATGGCGTCCTTCGCGGCCGACACGGCGAGCACCAGGACCAGCGGCACCACCGTGGTGAACCAGGAGAGGGAGGAGATCGCAGGGATGAGCTGCAAGGGCCGGGGGGACAGTGAGCGCCGTCGCCTGCGGAGCTGCCGAGAGTCTTCAGCCTGCTGCCCCCCCCGCCACTCGACAGCACCGGGAGCACCCGTGGCCCCCGCAACACGCCAACGCCAGCTGGGGCTGGAGCGCTGCCGGCCACGTTCACGCCCCTGCTGCCTGTCCACGGCGGCCTGCCACTCTCGCGCTCCCCCCGCTCTCGCCGCGTCCCTTGCCCCCGAGCAAAGCGCATGTCGCTCCAGCCAGGGGTTCCCTTCACACGTTTCCAGGGCCTGCGTGCCCCGCACAGGAAGCCCAGCCGTGCTGCCACGCAGGAACCACGGCCGGCCGGGGACCCAGTGGGGCAAGGGGCTTTTGCCGGGCGGGAGGACCGCAGTGCGGCGGCTGTCGTGCGCCCGGGGCCCACCGTGCCGCTGCTGGCAGGGCGGGACCCTCCCGCGGCCCGCGGAGGGGTCTGCCGGGCAGGCCGCCTCCACCCGCTCGCTCGTCCCAGAGGCCGGGACGCCCCACGCGTGACGCCCAGAGCCGGGTCGTGGAAGGAGCAGCTGCACCACTGCGGACCGGCCTGGCCCCTACCTGCAGGATGAGCAGGCAAAGGAAGTAGGCATTGGCGACCCGCTGGAACTGCTCGAACAAGTTGAGCGGCAGGAAGGTGAAGAAGTTGTACTTGGACGTCTTAATGGCGTTTTGCTGCGGACAGACAAAGCGTGTGGCTGAGCGAGAGGGACCCTGCCCGGCCTGGGCTCCTCGGCCGGAAGGCGTGGACACGCTGGGGACGGTTCAGAGGAGGAGGATGCGCAGGCCGACAGCTGCAGCCCACATGGACACGGTCAGGGGAATGGCCACACGCAGCTGGGCCGGGAAAAGAGTGGCTTTTTTCAGACATCGGCGTGAAGTGGAGCTGACACTGACCGGACACGGTTCCAGAGACTGCCTGCTGGCATCTGACAGATGGCGAGGGGCACTTCACGCCACCTCACTGCCGCCGCCTCCTCTTGCTCAGAGTAACACCCTGTCCTCCTCCTCCCCTTGAAGAATCTGCCTTCTCTTTGGAAAGCACTAACTGTGCTGGGTGGGACCCTCTAACAAGCAGCGCAAGAAAGTGCTAATGGCGGAGCGCTCAGGGGAGCCCCCGGAAAGACTCCCTGGAGGCTGGTTGCTGCTCAGAATAAATCCTTCGAAGGAAAGCTTCCCCTGTCGTCGTCTCTCCACCTCCCAAGGCACGTGGTGCTGCGCAAAGGGATCCTCGGCACTCGGGAGGAGACGGAGTTTTACAGAAACGCACCTGGACCTCCCCGTCGAGGCAGCGCTGGCAGTGGCGTTTCCAGCCGTGGGCTTCCTGGAAAGCTGCCCCATGAATCTCGCCGCTTTCTGCGCAGACGTGCCTCCAGGACCCCTGATCAAGGGACCGCGTTCCGCACGCACTTCCGCGGGCCCGGCGCCGGGAGAGCAGGGGTGCACCGCTCCCCCTGGGGCAGCCCGAGGTACCCCGTGCCAGGCAGCCGTGGCGGAGGGAGGAGCCGCGAGGCCAAGGGGAATGGCCAGCGTGCGCTCGCGGCACGGAGCGGGGAACCCGCGGGGCTCGGCGGGGCTGAGCTCCCCGCGTGAGCTTCCGGGGAGGGGAGCGTGTCGCACGGGCGGGCAGGAGGTGGCGGCGCCCTCGGGGCCCTCCGCCCTGCCACCTCCCTCGCCCCTGCGAGCCTCTGCCGGGCCCCGGAGCCCGGGCCTATTTCGGCTCGCTTGGCGTGGCCAGGCCAACGTTCGGAGCGGCGCGAAGTCCCTTGGCAGCAGCACAGATGCAAAGCTCGGGCCACTCCCAGCGCGCGGAGGGTGCCTTCCACTGGGCGTACAAGCTGCAGTGTCCTCGCGGGAGGGAGGGGGGCGCTTTGTGGGCACCAGCAGCACTCTGCCCCCCCTGCTCTTGAGGGCTGGCGTTCCGAAGCCAAGGGGCGGGCGCAGCTGGCAAGGCCTCTGGAGGTCCCCCGCAGCGCCGAAGGAGCACAACCCGCAGCACGAGGCTCGCTGCCCGGCGCCCGGCTGCCGCCCCATCCGCTCGGCAGGCTGGCCATCCTGCTTGAACCCCTGCCCCGCTGCCCCGGCGAGCGCCCAGGAATCCAGGCCAGGCAACAGGCACTGCTGGACCCCAAAGCACCCCGCCCCCAAACAAAGTGCCCTCAAAGAACCCCCACGGCCGACCAGTCCTGTCCTGGCTGCTCCTCGAGATCTCTGTGAACTGCCAGGCTGGAAATGCCCCGGGAGTCCTTTGCACGCATGAAACCCCCAAGGGAGCCACACCCCGAGCTGCCCCTGAGAGGTGCTGCCTGCGAGGCGGAGCAGGAGGGCTCGGCTTGGCCCCGGAGGGTGTGCAGTGCAGGAGCCGGGCCGGTCCCCCAGGAAGGCCTTTCCACACCAGGGGGACGCGAGCATGCCAGGCCAAAGCCCCCCAGCCCACTCTCCATCCCAGTGGTGGCAAGCCAGCTGCCCACAGCGTCCCTCAGCCAGTGGGTGCCCGAGCTCCCCTCGGACAGACGGACAGACGGACGGACGTCCCCGCTCCCTCAAATACGCGCTGCCTGAAGAGGTCCTGCCTTTGATCCGCCATGGATCTCCCCACCCGTTTCAGGCTTGAACCCTTCAGGCATAGCCCCTGGCTGCACCCCCCTCCCCCGGCTTGGCTTGGCTTGGCTTGGCTTGGCTTGGCTTGGCTTGGCTTGGGGCTGCCTCAAGGAGTAGCCCCTGCGCCCGGCAGGATCTGTCCCCACCACGGGGCGTTGCAGCTGCTCACTCCCCTGCATCCGATGCACGCGAAGGACGGCTCCCTTTTCCGGGATGGTGCGGGGTGAGAAAGGGAGCGTCGGAAAAACCAGCCCGTTCCCAGCACACAATCCTCCCCAGAGCCGCTGCTTGGATTTCAGGGGAGGGGGCGCTGGCCTCCCCCGCAAGGCAGCTCAGAGGTTCCTCCGCTGGCACACAGCCTTCAGCCATGCGCAAGCCAGGCGGGCGCAACCGAGGGCTGTGGATTCCTTGAACATTCAGTGAACACCTACATACAGTCCCCCAACCGAGTCTCCGCCCCCCCAGGTGCTTAGAAAGGATGGGGGTGCAGCCTGTGAGTCATCCTCCCCCCCCCACTGGGCCTCCACCCCTGTCCCACCCCCCCTGGTTGCGGGGGTCTAAAGCCGGGCAGCTGCTCCCCCTGCTTAGGCAGTCAACGTGCCTGCACAGGGCTGGCCCCCCATGTGTGGGGCGGGAGGAAGGTGCCCCGTGCAGCCCCCCAGACGCAGACGAGCCACACCCCTACTCACCGCGTAATCAAACTGCAGGTTGAAGGCCCGGTCGTTCGCTCGGAGGTGCCTTTCTTCCTCTGCGGAGGAGAAGAGGGTGCGCGTGAGGGAGGGGCGGCCCAAGCCCCCGGCCGGAGCCTCGGAGAGCGGGGGGGGGGGCCTTGCACAAGCGGGCCGGCAAGGAGGAGCCGGCAAGCGCGGGGCACCTTCCCCCACCGCCAGGCCTTGGGGTGCTGCCGCAGCCAGGGCCCAGGGACCCCGTGCATTTGCCCCCACTGCCCGCCCACCAAGCCCAGGCGGGTCACGGCTGCCCCCTGTCAGCACGGGTCGCCCCAGAGAGCCCCCCGCCTGCTCCTGCGCCACAGCCGGCCGCTCCTTCCCGCCCGGGCGCTCCGCTCGAGGTGGGCATCTTTGGCCTCCGGGGCTGCGACTGATGCCCGGGAGGAGGAGGCCAAAGGGGCAGGAAGACGAGGCTCCCCCAAAAGATGGCGGGGCCTCGCCAGGGTCTGCAGTTGCAGCGGGAGCATAACAGGCTCCAGCTGGCTTCCGACTCTGCGTCCGGGGAAGGGGCCGCTGCGGACACAGAACCCGCGTGGCCGTCTGCGCATTCGCGGTGCCTGCAGTCGGGGCGGTTTCCCAGCTAGGCCGTTTTGGGGGGAGCCCTGCCCCCTCTCCCTCCCCCAAAGAGACGGGGCTCCCCCATGTTTCCCAGGTCAGATGGAGACCCCTGTTTTGGCCTCAGAACAGGGATCGGACCAGGAACAGCCCTGCCCACACAAAAGATGGCACGGAACTTATGAATGGAACAAATTCTGTCCAGGACGGAATAGATATCAAAAGAAGCGAGGAACCTGGGGCGCTCCGAATGGTGGCTGGAAAAGAACTGGGCGAGATGGGGCCCAAAGTGAGCTTAGCTGGAAAAGCCTCCGCGCAGGAGCAGAGGCTGTGCATGACGTGGCGTCCCGAGGAAGAGCGGCCACTTCCCCCTGCAACGCCCTCCCCCCGCCCAAAGTCCCAGTGAGAGCCGTTCGTCCTGCCAGTGGGGTGCTCGCCTTTGGGGGACCCTGCGCTGGGTCCAGAAGGCTACAGGGGTCTGGCCTAGGGTGCAGCCCACGCCAGTCGGGGGGCGGGCAGAGGCTGCAGCTCAACCGCGCATGGTGCGTGAGGCTGTCCCTTGCTGGAGCCGGCGGGGTCACAGCAGGACGCAAGCCACGGCTGGGACACGGGGGGCTGCCCCTCCACACCGGCATGAGAGGCAGAGCCCTGAGGATGGGCAGGGCAGGGCAGGGGGTGGTAGCAGGAGGGCTCCAAGGGGGGAGCGGGCTCTCCGGTCTGAAGTACGTGGGGGCACCAGCCTCGGATGCGGGTCCCCTCTGGACCTTTCTGAGCTCTTCCTCAGCTAACTGTGGCACCTGCCAAGCCCGCGTCTCAGACGCAGCACGAGCCGCCACACTCTGCCACTAAACGTGGTCCTCCAGAGGCACACTCTGCCACCCATCCTGGGCAGCGGGACCGTGTCCCCAGCGCCCCGCAGGCCGTTGCCACACCCCGGCCCGACGGCAGGCCGGCCCCTGGGCAAAAGCGTTCCCCGCCTGGCCATTCTGCCTGCGGGGAGACACGAGGCTTTGGGGCTAAATGCTGAATCTGCGGGGAAACAGCCGGGACCAGGGCGCTCTGCCGGCCCACCAAAACAAACAGACAGCACACCAGGGCAGCGCCTCTTCCACGGGGCCGATCAAACGCTGCAGGATGGTCGGCAAACCCAGGAAGATAGCTCAAGCCAGGGAGCCAGTTCAAAGCAGCCTGGCCGAACAGCCCGTGTGGCCCCCGCACCATCTCAGACGTGCAGAAATGGCCATTTCCCGCTGGGGGAGGGCGCGATGCGGCGGACGGGGCCAGCTCACGCGCCCACACCGAGCCACGCAAACCAAGCCCGCCGGGGGCATGATCGCCAGAGCAATGGCTGGACCCCGAGGGAGCCCTCCAGGGACGGTGGGTCCTGCCAGTCGTCAGCTAAGAAAGCCAGTCCCTGCTGGGGTTCTGGGGGGAAACAGGGTGGGCCCCCATCTCATGCCTTTGGAGAGCAGGCAGGACAAAAACGAGGAAAAGAGAGAAACTTTGCCATGTGCTGCGGAGCAAGTGACTCACCAAACCTCAAATTTCACTGCACGGAAAGCAAATGGGATTCCAGGCGGTGCTCCAGCCGCGCGCGGAGGGCCCTCTGGCCAGCACACGCCCGGCTTGGCTGCAGTCTCTGCCCCACAGAAGGCGCCCCAGCCTGTGGCAAACGCCCGGCCCTCTCAGCAGCTCACGGTAGGCCGGCCGGCTGGCCGGCCGCTCCCAGGGAAAGGTGGCTAAACCGTGCGCTCGCCCTTGGGGGTGCTGGGGCCCAGGCTCGGGGTTCTCACGAGGAAGCACCGCCTGTGACCCCGAGAGTCCTTCCGCTGAATGCGCCTCTCCCGCACAGGCCGGCAGCTTTCCAGCGCTCAGGCTACTGGGCCACGCGGCCAGAACGCATCCCGCCCCCCACAGAGAGGACCAGGCATCCCAAAACGCTACGGTGCCCCCCCCCCACGCATCCTGGTGGCCAGTCCCATTTGTTCTGCTGCCTTGCAAGCTGTCTAGCGTGCCCTTTAGGAACAGAGCGAGCCGGAAGGGTCTCTGCGGCTATCTAGTCTGACCCACAGCTCCACCTGGCTCCGCTCACGACAAGCCCACCATGCGCTTGTCTCTTGGAGGGGAACAAGGCAGACGCTGCTTGGGTGGGGGGCAGGTGTGGGCGGAAAATGGTGGCGATTCTCATGGCCACCCGTCTATTTGGGAAACCTGGTCAAAGGATCACGGTAATGTTTCTGCTTCACTTCGCGTTGTTTTCGTTAACCGAATACCCCTTCGCCGGCCCAGCACGGTTCTCTCGGGCGGCCCGTGGACGTGCCAAGCCGGGCAGCCCAACTAAGGTGCACCGAAACGCACACGCTTCCCGGGCTCCCCTCCGGGTTCCTCTCCACTGGGTTTTCATTCCTCCCCGGATGCCCCTTCCCTTCCCTTCCCTTTCTGGGGAACCCTGGTGCTTGACCCCCGCACTCCCCGCCCAGCTGCGCCCCCGGCAGAGGCGAGCACCCACCGCCCTCGCGAGATCCACCCTTCGCAAGCGGGGGGGGGGCGGGGCCCCGGGGGGCTTTGGGCCAGTCCTGGAGTCTCAGCCCAGCTTGGTTGTTGTGGGGATGAATGGGGGAAAGAGGAGGATCCTGTCGGCCAGCTTGGACTTCCAGGGGGAAGACAGGCAGAATAAAAATATAACGCATTACAAACCAACATTTCAGCTAAGAATAAGAGCTGCCATTTCCTCCCACCTGAAGCCCACGGAAACAAGCTGCCGATCTGGCAATCGGCCGGCCGGCCAGCCACATCTCTCGCCCAGCAAGGCAGAGCTGGGATGGCTCCTGGAAGGACCCCCCCCCCCCGAAGCAGGCGGCCCTGGCACCACACTCCCCGGAGCTGTGGGACCGGCAGGGCGGGTGCCACGGCTCACGCAGGGGGCGAGAAGGGCCCCTGCCGAGAGCGGCAAGGGGGCGGCGGTGGCGCGAGGGATTCGGGATTCTTCCGCTCCTTCATGCAACACGGCTGTGCTCCCCGGCCCGATTTTGACCACCCTGCGTGCTTGCGGGCCACTGGGCTCCCCGCTGTTCTCCCTTCCACGCAGACGGAGCCCCCGGCCCCACGCCCTCCGCCGCCCGCACAGAGCCCCCGCTGCACTGGCCTGCCAGGCTGGGCCCGTCCGCCGGCAGCGACCGGAGCTGCCACACACGGGCCGGACAGAGCCGCTTCCCAGCCAGGGCCGTGCGGCAGCAGAGCCGCACGGCCACTGCCAGGCGGCCCTGGGAGGGCACGTCCCGCCTCGGCCCACGTGGCAGCCCAGCGGCAGAAGGCCCAGGCCCCACTCTGCCCCCAGGCGGGCGGCTTCAGGCCCCGGGGGGCCAGGCGGGCCCTGGCTGGGCAGCTGCTGTGTTCCACGGGGAGGCTGTTCTGCTCCCGCTTTGGGGGACGCCGGGCCACGCAGGATGCCGGCTCTTCGGCAGGAGGCCCCTGCACGGCGGGTCGTTCCGCGCTCCGGGGGCTCTCCTGACCTTCCCAGCCACTCCCGCGGCTTTGCGTGGGGGGGGCACGGCGGCCGGCGTCTCCCTCGGGCAGAAGCCCCGTGCCCCCCACAGGGCTGCCTCCCCAGCTGGAGCAGCAGAGCGTGCGCCCTCGAAGGGGCCCAGATTCACGGAGGCGTCATGCAAGGAGGCCATGCACCCCTTCAAGCCCCCCTCGTACAGGGGGAGGGGAGGCATGGCCCTGGCCGGGGGCGCTGCACAGCATCCTTTGGTGGCAGGAAAACCACCATACCCCACCCACAGCACCAGGGACCCGGGCACTGGCTGCGTCACAGGGCATCTTGGGCCTCCTCTGGAGGGCAGTGTCCCGTTCTGGACCCCACAGTGCAAGCTGGAAAGGGGGCAGCGGAAGGCGGCGAGGGCGAGCCGGGGACGGAGGCCAGGCCCTCCGGGGAGGTGGGAAGAGCTGGGCGTGCTCAGCCTCCCAGAGAGGAGACCTAGCGGAGAGCGGGGAGCCATCCGCCGTGCAGAGGAGGGCTGGGGTCTCTTCTCAGCCCCCCAGAGGGCAAGACGTGGAACAGCCGGCGTGTGACAGGAAGCAGCTCTGGCCAGACCTAGGGAAGACGTCCTGGCTGCTAGAGCAGCCAAGGGTGGACCCCATGAGTGGGGGGGGGGCAGGGGGCTCTCCCACCCCTGGACGGCCCCCCGAGAGGAGAGTTCGACGCGCTCGTCTGAGCTGAGCAGGGGCTGGCCCTGCCGGCCTGCCGGCCCCTTCCAGCTCCACTGTAGGGATTCCACAATTTGGGGCGAGAGCCAAGTGGGATTTTCCACCCGCATGGGCAGGGTTCCCCCCGCGGAGCCCCCTGCTCTCCTGGACTTCATTCTCCTTGAGGCAGTTTGATTTGTTCATCTTTCCCATGAAACCCAGATGGGTGTGAAGAAAGGCAGGAAACCGTAAAACGAATGTCTGTTTGTACTAAAGG